CATAGGTAACACCTAACTACAAGTGTGAATATGTATGTGGACTACCTCAGACCATTTATTTTGAGTCCCCTGTGCTTTATGTGGTCCTTCCAGTAAGGCTTCGGAATCCACATGATTTATACTAAATGTTAATTGCTGTATGTTTTTCCCACATGCACCTTGGCATGTTGGTATCTTGGAATCTGCCCTCAGAATGATACTGACCTGTAAGGCTGTGTAAAGTGTGCTTTTTGTATGTCTGGGATGAAGGAATGGGGAAAAGAGGAAAATTTACAAGGTTTTCAGAGGGGCAAAACCAAGCTGTGTTGTATGAAAGTGCACCTGATTCTCCACCTGCACAAGAATTTATAGGCAGGCAGAGGATGCATGACCATGGCTGAAGGCTTTCAAGAGTTTTCTTACCCAGGTATGTAATTATGATAGTCTTTCTGTATTAAAAAGCAACCCCAAAGTCAACTGCATTTCTTTTAAATTGTATAGTATTTGCGATAATAACTTTCAAATTATAAAAAAAATAGGTTTCTAATCTGGTGGCAGGAAATTTGTATTCATCTTATTGTGCTAGCCTGTATCTATTGGCTGTGCCTACAAATACCTGTTTTGTTCAGGGGCAGGTAAAAATTGTGTGTAGTGTCTGAGAGCAAATGTGGTAAGGGAATTCCATCCGAACACACAGGGTTCATAAATTTTACTGCTTGGAGGCACATAGGTTGATTATAAATGCCATCTTGATTTTTTTCAAAACAGTGGTGGTGTGTGAGGTACTGTGTTTGACTTGAAAGCGAATATATTTGGTATTTAGGAATCTGGCAGGAGAGAGCTCTGTCCCCCTGTGCAGGCACAGCAATGAGATTGGGATGTAGGCATGCATAACTTATTTTCCCCCGTCTGTCCTATCCCTAGAAAGCCATATGCCACCCTTAGGCTAGTGTAATGGGAGTCTGCATTAATGATTATGAGCTAGAAATATCCAAGAAGAGTTGAGTGGCCTTCGTTTCTAGCTTTACGAGAAATACTTCATTGACTCAGTCTGAAATATATTCTGGGATCAAAAGTCATAATTAATACAAAATTTCATTATGCCCTTTCTTGAAGTTTTGGTTGTTTGGTTTATTTTTCTTGTCCTAAATTGGTCAGAGACTTGGAGATTTTTAAGTCTAATAGGCAGAGTAGGAATTTAAGCAAGAAGATAAAAATTTAGAGAGAGTTGTTTACTCACCTACTATCAGAAATAAGCATCTTGAGTGTACATCTCTAGAGAACTTATGCTCTGCAAGATTTCTAAAACCATTGAATGCCTTGTCTGCTGGCAGCCGGCAGAATGAAAACTGCATGTATACATGTATAGAAGTGGTGATGGGAAAAGGAGAATGTAGAAATGGGCTGGAATATTAAAGCAGGCAATGAAAGCAGATGGTTTACGTTGGATTTTATAAAATAGGTTTCTTTTAATTTTGTTTTAAATTAAAACCATGAACGGTCACCATTGCAAACCTATTTGCAGCTGTGCCATAAGTATTAGGATGCAGTTGTCCCTGAATCATAAAAGGGCCAAGGTTTTTTGGCTGCTTGCCATCTTCATGTTTATAGAATTGTGTATGGTCTGTATGCATTAGAGTTAAGCAATTTCATCACCGCCTTTCCTCAAAATTGATTGCTGTTCAGTGACTCTTCCTTCTCTTTCTCCATTGTCAGTTGGTTACATCTCAGACTCTCATTACATTTTATATTGATACTACTTCCATTTTTCACTAAACTGGAAAAGTTGAAGAGTCTGGAGTGGATACTGAATGTCTAGATATATTCTTTAAATACTTGAATTCCTATCATTGTGGACCATGATAAATTTAGAGCTGGATTACTTCTTTAAGAAGAAGTGACTGTTTGCTCATTCAGTGATGAAGTCTGGTCATCAAGATGTTGGAATATGTGCTGCAGAGTTCTTTAGATACTGATATGAGTGTAAAAGTTGTTGCCAACAGCTGCCTTGGGTTTTGGGCACCTGCTGCCTCTCATTTCTCGCATCTCCCACTCTATCTTCCGCTCCCAAAGCTGGCAGTGGCCCTAAAAATACTTTGTGTTGAGTTCTTAAGTAGGAGATCTCTACCAAGCTGGTAGTCTGTATTCCTGAGTCATTGGTCACACTGCAGTGAAATCTGTTCTGTGACAGAGTTATGGCAAGGAAATGGACTTCGGGGGGAAGCTGGTTCCAGTCAGGTGACAAAGGGATTGTCCTGCCAAAGGCTGCTGCCCTGTGCTGATCCTTCCTCTTTCCCTGCCAATCACAGAACTGTGTTTTCATTGCTCACTGCCATTTTTGCATTTCTCCAGAGTGTGACAGGCTTGAGTGGTGTGCATGATGTGTGAGGGTGATGTAGTGTCGTGTGTCTGGGAAGAATTGCTGGAAATTGCCCCTATGAGCGAAATACGATTTTGGCGCTGTTTTCATGATTCCATTGGAAGTTGGACTGTTGATACATATATGGGAAGTCATCCCTGCCTGAATAATCAATGCTCAAATGTGAAATTTGCAGAAGCATGGATGTATTACTTGTGTAGTTCCCATATCCAGCCAGTATTCTCCAAGTGTCTGTATGAATCCTTAGGACAGAGGCTGCTGGTTTGGCCTGAGATCGTGTTTCAATAAACTTTTGTTTCTGATACAGTTAAGAGGAATATCTTGTCTGTGTTTTGACCTCAACCAATTAAGTCCAGTATTTATTCTGGTTCCTGTGGATGCTGTCCGGTGGGTTACCTGGAAGAGAAAAGAAACCTTTTCAAACAGAAGAGTTCAAAAGTATTCACCAAAGGTGTTGAAAGATGACTTGTATCCCAGGGCTGAAATTATAAAACATGTAAGCTGCCATCTGGGAGCTGGAAGTGAAGCTCATTAGGAAGCAAGGAAACCAGATATTGCTCATTTCTTAAACAGATTGCTTAAACTTCAGAAATATTAATGGACAGGCTATGTGTCTTGTTATCAAGACTGGTGCATGCAGGTCTGCAAGGAGATCTTGGCACATGCTTGGAAGTTAGCAAAACTTTAACCAGCAGCCCTTTTGAGTTTTCCTTTTTATATTATTTTATTAGTGTATTTTATTTAGTATGGGTTTTTTTTTTTTTCAATGCAGCAGTATGTACTACTACACATTCTAATTTTCCTGTTTCCATTCAGTGAAGGGTATCTATTCCTATTCTTGGAGTAATAATTTTTCCCTCTCCTGAAGGTTGACAGAATAAGAGTATTGGCAGTACTGCAGAAGAGATGCTCTGTGTCTAGTAACAGTGTTATATTCTCTAAAACCCTGATTCTGCTTCTGTGCATTGTATCTTACGGGGCACATATTGGTGATAGGGCTGGTTCCTTCTCCTTGCTCTCACTTCTCAGCCCTGTCCAGAGCCACTGAGTTAGTGCCTTTTGTTTATTTTGTCATGTGAGTGTTTGTCCAGCAGCAATGTGTCAGTTCATGGCTCAGGCACCCAGGGATGACAGATGTACATCCAGTAAAGAGTTAGTGGTAAGCATGACCTACCTGCTGAAATTATAACAGGCACCATGAAGAGTGCTGTGTTCCTCCTGTCCATCTGCTGAGGATGGACAGACCTGTAATTGCTAAAATGTAAAAACACAATTAAGCGCATCTGTCCTGACTGTAAAAATCATCAGGAAGAAAAATGTTATTCAAATTCAGCTTCTCTCAAGATTGGTCAGTGATTACCAGTAAACACCTGTTGTGTATTGGTTTGTTTGGCCAAGGACTTGATTCTGCTATATCAAACCTATCTGCAGAAGGGAGGAATTGGCTTCCCTCAGTTGACATGTAGATGTTCAGTTACAACCCTCTAAGCTGGTGCAAAGGACAAGGATGGACGACACACATATCTGGTAACACATCATCCCTCAGTTACATGAAGTAGTCTCCGTGTGCCATTAAAATGATGGCAGATCCCATAAAAACATTACTCTCCACCGTCTGCTCCCTCTGGCAGTGAACTATGACCAAGAGGAAAGTTCCTTGTGCCCTGTCAACTCCCCTCAAATAAATAATCATAATGAAAAAAGGCCAGCCATTCTGAAGTTCCTGCTTAGCCAATGTGCTGCTGATTGAAGGTAGCCCTGAGAGGCAGGGAAGGCTTGCAGCTCTTGACAGCAAATGAGAGCTGTGCCTGCCTCATAAATGCCTTGGCTTCAAAAGGAGGTGGTTATGGGCATGAAATGTTTATCATCTTGTACTTGCTTTGCTGCTGCTGGCTTACTGTGTAAGTAAAAAGTAGTAACAAGTAAAGAAGAGGCAATACTGCAGCCTGTTTTATCTGCTTGTCTGCACACTTTAATAGGCTTGTGGGCAAAAGAAAAGAAGCAGGTGGAAGCAGCTTGGCTTTGACAGAGGTTTGAACTGTGCACTCAAGAGGTTTTCAGTTGCCTATGAAGGGGAATCTGATGGGGAGCCTGATCAGTCAAATGGCTTTCTGTTTGGAATCACTTTGAAATTGTCCATGGAAGAAGATGACTTGCTACGTAGGTCAGCTTGTGCATTTGAAAATGCCCTTTAAAAGATTACTTGTTCTTGGCACATAACTGGAAGCAGTTGTTGACCACCTCCTTTTGAGTCTGCCTAGCGCTGGCACATTCACTGGTGCGTGTTGTGTATCAGCGTCTCTAACACTGTGCAGCACCTTGCATGGCTCTCTGGAACTGGCTGTTTCCCAGCTTCCTTTGCTTAGCTCCCACCCTAAATGGGGGTCCTGCTGCAGGCTTTGGGGACTTTGCTCTGGTTTTGGTTTAGGGGGTGCCTGTGCTTTTGTTTTGCTTTAAAAACACAGTTCCCAACAGGGGACAGCACTGCATTGCTTAAGACGCTTGTCATTTTAAAGGAACTTTTCTTAACTTGTCATCTTAAAAGCTGTATTGCACAGCAGCAGGCAGCTTCCAAAAATCACTGATTTCTCTTTTTCTTCTCTTTCCCTTCCTTTCTGTCTTTTGCTGTCTTTATGCCAAGCCTGTGGATTTGGATGCCTGGGTAAGCTCTGTTTTTTTGTCTGGATCTTGCTTATTCCAAGTGTCATGTTGTTACTGTGCGTGTACGGATTGTTATTGCTGAGCACAGATGCAGGATTTTATTTTCTGTCATTACATTTTAAAAGGTGTTCAGCTAGAAAATTGCATATTATTTCCTCCATAAAGATTTTCACTGGTTCTTTTTGTGTAGCTTACAGCTGCTGAAACCAACTTGATCTGGTGATGTGTATTGTTGGCTAAGAGAGTAGCAGAAACAGGAGGAAATGAAGGTTATACCAGTATTGCTTTTTAAGGCCTTGCATTGCATCTGGTTTCTAAAATAGAGCCTGGTCACCTGCCTTCAATAGAATGAAAGGTAGGACAAAAAGCTAGTGATTTTGTAGGCCTTGTGTCTGGAATAGCTATGGCAGACAGCTCCACGGTAATGGTGATATTCCTGCTGATGCCAGTGGAGGTTGAGTCAAGGCTCTCCCATGGCTACTTGCTTGATACAAGCTTCCCTGTAAAGTTCTGCTATTCAGTCTTGGGCATGAAGTACACATATTGCCTCTTACTATTTCAGTATTGCCCTTTTATTGCTGCCATTCCCTTTAGACTTGGCCAGGAACATGCCAGCTAGCTAATTTTGGAGTTAGCCCTGTTCTTTAGTGAATTTCTGTCAATTCCTTCTTCTCATCTTGGAGTCCTTAATGGCATTTGTTTTTCTCTCCTGCCACCTGGACTGCTACCAGGACTGAAGAGACTTGGGAAAGCCCGAGGTATTAGAATTTGCAGTTGTGAAGTGTGGCAAGCTGAGGTGCCCAGCCAAAACATCTCTGCTGTGCTGCTGCAGAGATGTAACTGTGTACCTTTGGGGAAGCTGATAACTCCTCTCAGCAAAGACAGGATGATGTAGAAACTAGGCATTTGATAGACTTGAGATCCTTTGCTTTATCCTTGTAGCTTATTTCCCTGTATTGCTTCTGACTGATTATCTAGGCATCATCTTGCTAGTTTGTCTGTGAGTGGTGGAAGTGCTTTGCCAAGAAGATAAATATTTTCGCAGTAATCTTGCCAAGTGCTGTGACTTGGCTTTTAGGAAGTATTCATAGGCTGAGGTTTGGACCTTTCCTTCTAGCTTGAGTTGCCCTTTGTAGAGAGAGAGTTTTTGGATTTTCTGTCCTCCAGGAGAGTCTTCTCCATATCCTCTTCCCAAATCCCAGAACCAAAACAGTATTGAGGAGAGAGACAGCCCGGTGGTAGCTGTCAGATGTGGGCTGTGCTAACACTGCACTTTATTCTCAGGTGCCACATTCCTCACTATCATCTGACCCTGCCAATAAGCCCATTTTTTATTCCAAACAGATTTCTGCCCTAGTTTTCATGTTTAACAAGGTGATGAGGCGGGACTGTGATTAAAAATAATAAAAATGTGGTAATATTTTGGGATGCAACAAAGCCAAAGCTAATCTGCAAATGGTTATAGCTAGAGTAAAGCCCAGCTCTAGATCAGTTGCACAGTCTGATGTGTGGCATGTTGGTGTCAGTACAGGACATGGCTAAGAGTGTCTGGTTTTGTTCATAGAGAATGAACCAATAATATTTCATTACCTCAATTAGGAGCTTGGAAAATATTTCTTTTGGCCTGTCTGTCAGCTAGCAGGCCAGTACTTGAATCCTTTAGTTGAGCCAGTATATAATGTATAGCTTTAGAAATGTGCTTGCACTGTTTGTTTCTAAATGGGTTACTTGATAAAGGGTAAGAAGGAGGCAGAGAATCACATAATTCTGCCCTGGCTCTTTGTCACTGTTCAAGGCAGCACTGAGATAACCTGAAAAACCTTGGGCTGCAGAAAAAATGTGAAGATAAACCAGAGGAAAAATTTCAAAGAGCATCCAACCAGTCCATGGCTCCATGCCCATGGAAGCTGTAGCAGTGTGTTAGTAGTATGCCTTTACTCTCCTTCTGTAAGAATATAATGCTTGTAAATTCTGACACCATCACAGGGGATTCTTGAGCATTTCTTGAATACATCTTATACCTAGCTTTTGTACAGAGGGCAAGGGCCAGTTGCATGTATGTTCTTTTAGAAATATATCCCTTTTTCTAGGTTTTGGGTGCATTCATATGTTTTATAGCTGAGTGTGCCCTTTCTTCCCTGTCTCTGTTTTTTTTTCTGTGTTCATACTTCTTGGACATTACACTATTTGTGTTCTACACATCTAAGGTATCTTCTCTGGGCTTTGGTCACCTCTTGCACAATATATTGAAGCTCCATTGTACTTGTGCATCTTGAAAGTGCAATGCAGCTTTCTGATATCTGATTTTCAAATCAGTGTGTTATCATGCATGTTTTCCTTTCTCCTTCCTTTTTTAGTTCTAAAGGCCTTTTTTGCAAAAAGTCTATTGATGCTTTGTTTGGCACTTGCAATCTCAATCCCCTGTGAAACTGTAATCATAGCAGCCAGTTCTGTCTGGGACATCACAGGCTTCTCACTTCAGGTAGGGAATAAGCAGCAGGACTAGAGGAACTCTTAATAAATATCCTATATTCATTCAAAATGTCCCTAGTTGCCTAACCCAGTTTGGAACAGTGAATATTTCAGATGACACATGCTCTACTATACCATTTGTACTTCAAACATCATCATAAAGTGTACTAAAGTTTCTAGTAATAACAGCTGGGGATAGAGGGAAACAGAAAGCAACTTTGAAGCAGATCTGTCACAAATAGAGTGTTTCTCTGCATACTTCAATGCACTGAAACAGCAGCAGCTCTTGAAAACAAGCAAGGCATTGAAAATATGTTTGTGTTGCAAAGTACAAGGTTTCTCTGTAACCCCTAGTTCATCCTACATTATGGCTGATAAGTGGGACAATGGGGGATAATATGGGAGAAATTACTTTGAGGGAGGAATGGGGAGCACTCTGCGGTTACAGTCTGCACTTAGGAGATCCAGGTTTGGTTCTTTGACCTCAGTTTTGCAAGAGACCCTGGGGAAGTGACTAACAGAATGTCTGTGTGCTGCAGGGTGCATGGGTGTGGAGGCATTATTCACTGCCAGCTCCAGTGAGGTCACTTGGCAGTCCATGGGTCATCATCATGCAGAGCAGCACACCTCTAATGCGTCTGCAGCTCAGCACCCAACTTGAGAGATTAGGTATTTGGCTTGTGTTCCCTTCCAGAGGGGTTGTAAGGATAAATGTGCTGCATTTCTTGGTGAATGATGTCAGGCAAACTCACGGGTTGGAAAGTTGAGTGAGCGGATCCATGTATTGCCAGAAACAGAATAAAGCCTCTTGAGCACTGGTATTGTTTCATGTATTGTGTTTGTACTTCCAGAATATCCACTATCCCAGGAGACTAGCACTGATACATAATTATTGGGTTAAACAGAAACTTTCTTGCCTTTATAAGACTTTATTATTTTACTCTCTTTTAAAATTTTTCTTTTCCCCATCATATGATGCATCTTCCATCTGAATCATGCAGAGGCGTCAGTACTGTCTTACTCTTCTTTCTCTTCCTTCCTTACTTTTCCCTTAAGGAAATACAAGTCATTTGTAGAGTAATCTGGTTTTATGGGTGTTATGCAGAAAACCTGCAGGAGACTTGGGGTCCTTTGGTCATCCAACAGACCATCCCACCTTCTTACACCTGTTTCATTTTATTTGAAATTGCTTAGTTCTTTTCTGTGTAGAAGATTGGTTCAGAGGAACAGCTATGGTTCTCTTACCAGAAAATGGTTATAGTTCTGGCACTTACAAAGTGCCCATTGGTGTCCCTATTGTTGCTGTGATTATTCTCTTTTGTCAGGCTGCATGTATGGGGCAGCTCATTCTCATCCCTCTCCCCATCCTGTTCCCGCTGGTTTGCAGGTGGGAAGTTCTATAGCAGCTATAGGTTAAAGTAAAGCTAGAGATTTTGCTTTTAATCATGTGCCTTTGAGACAGAGAAGATTTAGTTACGAGTCTCTACTGCTTGTGCCTTATCCTGACCCTGTTTTCTGGGATAGCAAACATGGAAACCAAATTATTTCTTTTTCTTTAAAAACAAACAAAGAAACCCACATCACCACCACACCCCTACAATCTTCCTATTTCAGATAATCATTTTCTTGCTTGCTTATCAACCACCCTCACTGCCTAGATTAAAATCTCTTCTAAGCCCTATTATCCCACTGTATTTCCATCAGCAGGGGAGCAGAAAGAAGGACATGCGCAGCAACTTGCTTTCAGATGTAATTTTTCTCGTTAGCAATGGCTTTTGGCTGTAAAATGACAGGTCTGAGCCCACGGGGATATTTCTGTCCCAGCTGCTTAATCATGTTGGACCAGCATTTTCTGTGGTTGTGCCTTCATTAGAAGTTAAGAGAATGTTGCTGGGATGCTATGGACTGGCAGGGTTTGTGTCCATGTTAAGCAGGCTAATCATTCTGGTTTTGAAAGGTCTTCTGCCTGCTGTTAACTTTCATGGCCCCAGAGATTTTGAGGTGGGATGGGGGATATAGAACAACTGCCATCTTTTCTTGCTATTGTTGCTTGTTATTTTTAAACTTCAAAAGTTTGATTCAGTTCCATCAGTGTCGTGTTTTCTTAATGCTAGTTCAGTTTAGGGGTGGGAATATAATTAAATGGTGCTGGCTGTAAGGAGCTAGAAGGCTACAGCTGTTGCTGTGCCCACACAGACTTTTTAATTGAGCACTATTTAGCTGATGAATACCAGATTTACTGTTTTGATAGTGCCATACTTATAATTTGTAAGATAGAAGAGAAATTATTTGACAGCCGTCTTCCCTCTGAGTCTGCAGCACCAGCCAGAGGAACTCTGAGGGTACTGATGGGAAATGCATAGAGAGCATGTGTAGAGAGTACTTAATTATCTGGATAGTCCTATGTATGTCTGTTGTAGGGAAATATTTAATCCTTAGAAGCTTTTGGACACTCTAAGGGGCAAGGGTTTATAAAGAGGAGGATTTGAGGGGATTTGGTTACTTTTTTTTAAGGTAAGGGGAAGAACATTTGAGTAATGACTGTCATGATTCATAGAAAAACAGACATGGATAAGAAGGAGTTCTGAAAAAAGGAATGGGAAAGCATCACCTTCCTATGATTCTATATTTTCATTAAATAAGAAATGTAAACCCAAGGGTTTGAGTTTGAGTAGGATGCTAATAATAGCATTTCAAACGTTGAGGGATAACCCAAAACGAGCTGCGATTCTTAAGGTATGTAGTTCCACTAAGGGGGATCCCATGCACGAGTCCTGAGCAGTGATCTTTTTTTTTTTAGGCCCTTCTAGTCTGCATCTTATGTATTCCCTTGCATTGTTTGTTTTTAATTTCTTCTTCTACTGATGCTGTTTTGTTGTCCTTCCCAGGCTGTGGAGCTGCAAGACTGGGAGGCAGACCTGAAGCGACAAGAGGCCTTCTATAAAGAGCAGTTGGCCCGCATTGAGAAGAAGGTGAGGCTGAGTTGTCTTTATTTCTGGCCCCTGCAGGGGTAGGACACGGATCTGTGTGGATCCAAAAGACAGAGAACCAAGATGTGTTGTGCTGCAACCTGGAACTGTCAGCCTTCAGTGTCTTATCTGCCCCCTACCCCCTACGTAAGTGATGAAAAAGCTGTGCAAATCTTTTCAGTAATTTGTGTTTGAAGGATAAAGGTTTTTTTTTGACTGGATGATATTTAAAAAAAGATTTTTGGTAGTTCAAACTCTATTATCTGTTTCACCATGGGATTTAGGTGAAAGCTAAATTGAAAAAAACAAACAAGTGCCCTGGTTTTTATTCCTTTTGTTAAAAATCCTTTCCTTAATAAAAAAAAAAAAATCAACCACCACAACATAAATTTTGCTATAAATATGAATTAAAGTTGTATTAACAATTTTTCTCTGGGGAGCCAAACAGTTCAAAGATTGGTGCTGCAGTACACTGCCTGCTTCTTGCTGGATAAGCCTTTGAAATAAACATGATTTAAAGAGACACTGTCAAGCATCTTTTAAGCCTGAAATGACCTTTGAAAATCCATTTAGGGATTTGAATCTCTCCCCTAAACGTGGGATTTGCTTCTCTGTTTAATTGTTTACCATGATGAGTTTTTAAAAATTGATGCTATAAAAATAGGAGCAGCCGTGCTGTTCCTTATGAAGTAATGTGTTCTTCACTTCCTGGCAAAATGAAATAATGTTATAAGTAGTCTTTATTTTTTAATAAATGTGGAGAATAATCTTCTCCAATTTGAAGCAATTAGACCTCCTGACAGGGAGTTGCATACATTCGACTTGTAGTTGTGTTATGTGACTAAAAAGAAGTGCAAACAATGAAAAGAGTGGGTTGTAAAGAGACTGAGAAATCAATCAGTTTTACTACCAATATGTAGCAGGATGGTGAGTATGGAACATGGGAAAATTGTAGATTATATAAACGGTAGGGAGCTGTTGGCATATCTATTCCTCTTTTCATTCCCTCCTACTGTATGACTGTCCATGCTGCATTTTTTGAGCCATCAGTGGTAAAACATGCCTGTGAGCAAATTCACACAATACAATTTTGCAACTCTTTAATCCGTACAATTCATTAAAAATAAACTATTAAAACTACCACTCAGTGTTGCATTTGTATTTTAAATTCTGTTTCTAGATAATGGGGATTGTTCAGTGAAATTGCAAACAATCTAGCAGCTATCGTTCTAATTATCACAGTTGTCCATATGTTCATACGCAAAGGGAATTTTTGCAATTTCTTGATCCCATGCTGTTTGCTTCTATTATGTTCTTCTCTCCAGATCTGGTTTCATGAAGAGGAAATTACAGGGAAAACCTGTGAGTCTGTCCTTTATGGACAGTGGAGTGGGGAGGAGTCTGTGTCCAGGCTTCATTGTCCTCTTTTTGAAATCTTTTGTTGTCGTTTGTGTTTTCAAGTCCATGTCCCTTGCTACAGGGACCATTATAAACAACATGATGGATATTTTAGTGAGGGATCTTCTTGGGGGAGTAAGGTGAGCTGCCCATAGTCTATTCAAACTGCAGAGCTACAGAGAAACTATCTCCTAGCTGTTATGTGTACAAAAGCAAATAGATAAAAAGAACAGGTTTTCTTTCCTCTCTTGAAACACTGGATAGTTTCTGACCCTTAAAGACTAGCATTTTGCTGGTAATAAAATAGAAGAATGCCTCCAACCGTTAGTCTGGATTGGAGTGGGAGGTGGTGGGGGCTAGAAGGGAAAGGAGAGAAATGTAATTGAAACAGTGTAATAAAGCTTAATTGTATTAGTTTTGAAAAAGGTTTTTGATCCTCTCTGAGGATAATTTTATTCCTATAATGGTTGGAAAGATGGAAAATGCAGCACAGAACAATCTTTTTTATTAGCTGTTGCTTTTATATAATTCTGCTTTTATTTGTTGAATACACGCAGACCTTGACATTTATTTATATATTTTTCCTTCCTCTGTGCTAAAGCTTTCCTACTCAGGCTTAGATATATTTTTATATATCTGTGTATGTGTATGTCAATATTAGAAAAAAAGCTCTCAGTAAGAGGATGGTGGGAGAGAGCTCTGAAATAGAATTTTGCTTTCTCTGCTGTTTTAGGAGGGGGTGGTCACTTGAAGTGTGGTCACTGGTAGTTCAGAGGTGTTTGGCTGGGAGTGAATGAATAGGGCTCAGTGTGGAGTTAGCAAGCTGAAATTTGTCCTTCTGAGGATCAGGCTATCAGGAATTCCCCTCTCTCCTCCCCTGCTGTGCCCAGGTTGGTTTTGTCCCCACTTCTGCATGATAACAGAATTCAGCAGTAGGAGATTTAAAGATTTGTTTTTGAAGGATGTTTTGAACTATTGATGTTAAAACCTCAGTACCTTCCCAGTAGGATTCTAAGAGTAATTGTGTTACATACTCCTTACAACATAAGAGCTGCTCAGTGAATCAAACACAGAGACTATCCTGTTTCTTCCGATAGCGGTCAGTTTGTAAAGGCTTTGAAGGAAGAAAAAAAAAATAACCAAAACAAAGTGACAAAACTTTGGGAGAGCATCTTTGAGAAGAGTCTTCCTAAATGTTGTCAGTTGGAGGCAGACACATGCCCTGCTACACAAGAGTTTATTTTCATTCAGTATTTTCATTCACCAAAAGCTGATTTAGTGCTATTGTTCTTCTATGAATCTCAGGCATTTTTCCTGTAGCCTTGTTTAGCTCTGTGCCTCCAGCATCATGTGAAAGTGTGTGCCACAGGTTAATTTATATACTCTATAAATTCTGTTATCAGTTTCAAATATTTTTTGTATTTAGTATCCTTTATGTGAAAGAGACAAAATAAATTCTTCTCATTATTCATTATCTACAGACTTCTGTTCCCTCTTTTACCTTCCCATTAAACTGACCAGTCCTTACCTTTTCAGCCTCTGCTTGTGTGAATTATTTTTTCTGGGTTTCTCATTCTATTTGTTTGTCTTTTGGCTCTTTTCCCCCTAGCTGCTCTGCCTTTGAGATGTATTGACCAGAATTGAACTCAGTAGTTCTCTTGAATGCAGCAGATTGTGTGAATACATTATCCTTTTATTTTGTAATCTTTGAAAGAGTACTGTAATCTAGTGGACAGAGCACAGAATTGGAAGGAAAAACCTGCTCATTTTCTAATAGCCGTTTCTCTTTTGGGAGTTTGAAACAATTATTTAGTCCATCTATCTCAGTTATTTTATATATATGATTGAATAGCTTATAATGGGAGGGCAAAGTGTTGTGAAACTGTAAAGCTATAAAAATGCTAAGAAGGCTTTCCCTTTAGTTTTGCATGAGGTGAACTATAGGTGTACCTTATTTCAAACGTATCTTGAGAAACGCAGTTTCTCCAGACAATCTTATTAAAATTTTCACAGGAAAAGGCATGTATGAAAAAATAATTGCAGTATTTCAGCTCTTGGGGTTTTCCCTGCATCTTCTCCTAAAGCACTGGAAGAAATGAGACAATGAGTGCAGCAGTTCAGTGTCACAGTAAGGATCCATCTAGTTCAGTGTTCTGGTCCTGGCTGTGATTGAAAGTGAATGTCCAGGGATAACTGTAAGAATTGAACTGATGGGAAAAGAGGTTGTGGAGGCTCCTTCACTGGAGGCAGTCAAGGAGCATCTGGACATAATCCTGTGCCATGTGCTCTGGGATGACCCTGCTTGAACAGGGAGGTAAGGGACCAGATGATCCACTGTCCCTGCCAACCTGACCCATTCTATGATCAAAGCAACGTTATGGGGTATTTGTCCCAAGTGCTTTGACCATTCTGGCTAGTCATTTTTGGAGCTTCTCCTCATGTATTTAATCCTCAGAGGGTTGTGAACCAGGACTGTGTGCACAGTGCTCGCGATGCAGGGGGACCGTGAACGTGTGTGGCAGCTGTGTCAGAATCACTGTTTGGTTCTGTTTCTTTGTAGTGCCTGACACTTGATTTGCACTTCTGACTTGAGTTGAGCAAATGCCACACACTGCTGCTACTGGCAGCATTCCTCTGTTTTGAGTGCAGACTTGAATATATACAGTGGGTGTACTGGGATTAAGGCAATGCTGGGATTAGTTGCTGGGAATATTCTTCCCGCTGCACCCTTCGTTGTCAATTTGTCAGGGGCTGTGTGTGTGGGAAGGGATGGTGGGCTTTTTTCTGCCTGCGGTGTGATTCATGCTTCTTAGAGATTATTTTTAATCAAATTTTATTGAACAAATTCCTTGCAGAGGATCATTACACTGGTAAAACCCTTCATCTTCCTCACTTTAACTCTGATAGTTTGTTGTAGTGTTTCTGTCTCCTGGGTCACATGTATGTTTTTGTTTTGGAGCACCTGAAATATTTAGGTAATCAGGAAAATGAGAGGGAAAGGCTCCTTTCAACTGACTGTTCCTTGTATGACTGTGTGTGATTGCAGGGTTGGAGCTGGTGATACAGACATTCCATTCCACACCTGTGTTTCCAATGTGACTGTCTCATCTCCAATCAGTAATCTAGTAATGAGACCTGACTAATTTGTTATAGGTGGTTAAACTTCTAACTCTGACTTGTTTCAGTAATTTTACATCTCATCCATGTAATTTGAATGATTTCATAGAATATGTGTCTTCTCTCAACTGTTTTGAATGAGGTTTTGTACTGTAGTGTTCCTCTGGATAGAAAGAATTAGAGTTAGACTAATAATCTGTTGGGAGATCCTTAGACACACTCAACTTGAGATGCTTAATATGATGTTTTTTCATGCATTTATTTGTTACTGAGAAGCAGGGAGGGAGATCGAGGGAGCTTGTTGTAAATAGGTAACATGCTCAGAACTGGGATTTTTATTAGGGATTCTGTGTATGCTTTGTCTTGCTTTCTCCAAGTAGTAGAAAGGTCCTTTAAAAAAATAGTGTAAGAAAGAAGTACAGTCTCTCCTGGAACCCTTCAGATGCCAGGAATATTTCACTTAGCATATTAGTTGTATACTTTCTTCC